TCTGTGAGTGGTCGAGTGTATGCCGCGGCAGTTCGGCCAGTTCTGCTATATGGCGCAGAAACTTGGCCATTAAGAAAATAGGATAAAGATAAACTGTTGGTGTTCGAACACCGATGTCTACGCAGCATTGCATGAATCTAGTGGGGCAGCCGGACGAACAATGCTGAGGTTAGGCGCGGAGTTTTAAGCAACCGCGGTCGCCCGCTGGAGCAAGTGGTCAACCTCCATAGATTACGTTGGTTGGGACATGTGTTACGCATGTCACCAGCTGGGTTGCCATGGTGAGCGATGTTCGCCGAGGCAAATAGTAGATGGAAGACAGTCAACGGTGGCTAAGCTAAGACCTGGCACGAGGGTATGAAAAACATGACCAGGAGTCTGGGTCACATAGGTCCCGTTAGGCTCCCTGGCTAGGGACCTCGGGATGATCTTAACCGATGGTCAGAGACACTGAATGATATGGCTGGGTGTCGTAAACAGTGTCGTTCTTGCATCTTCTCAATTTCTTTGCAAACTTAGACCACTGGACTTTTCCATTTTCTGTTCGACTCTACCTTCAACTTTCCTGTCCTCTCCTATTATTGATCCAAATGGGCAGCCAAAAGACAGCAAACAAAACCGGCGCACGAAAGTGCATGGTTAATGGTTGTTCAAACTGAAACTGATTGTGGGGATAGCAATCATAAATATGGGGAGTGGAAATGCCATAGAGATCTCCACAGGAAAAATAGGAATAATATGAATGTTCAATCCAAAAAGAACTCTATGTTCAGCCCATGGCTACTGAGATCATGAGAAAATTACGTCACACGCTAGTACGTATAGCAACTCCGGGTAAAATCAGAAACAAAATGGAATGTAAGCATTCTGAACAAATTACCAACGAGCACATCAGGAAAATGACGAAGCTACTTAGAGCAAAAATGAATCAACTCAAAACACGCAATCGCTCCCTTAATAAACAGTGAGTTCCAATGACTTCAATTGGCCCTCCGGTCTGGGATAAGTTTATGATCATGATTCAATTTGGAGTTTTCCTGAAAACTTGGATGACACAATTGATCACTTTGCCCTATCTGTTCGCGGGAGATCCGGTTACCCGAAGCTAAGCCCTGAAGCTGTCCACTTACCATGGGAATTAGTCGGAGCGGTCCAACCATCAATTGTTCTTGACGACTGCAGCTTCTTGCCAGTTGACTGGATTGGCGTACAAGTGGTTGAACCTCTGTTAGTGGAGGATAGACGTCCGAGGCGTGCTGCCTCCAACTCCGCTTGTTCAACATCTTCGTCCTCGTCCTCGGCTGAGGATGGGCCACCGCCGATTTCCCAGTCGTAATCAGCCAATTTATCTTGTGCGTAGATATCACTATCTTCAACTTCAAGGACACTGACTCCAAAAGCTTGACCTAAAAAGAGGGAACAAAACGACGGGGTGAGGAAAACATGTTACCATGACCAATTCATCCAACGAGAACAACACCTGTTATTGAGATCTGGTTCAGAAAGAAAACACTAAGCGAACGATATATTGTGAAGACATCAGATCTCCTATCAATTTCGGCGTTAATGGACGATTACACGGTTAAATGTTCACCAAAATAACTGGCAAAAATAAGCAATTTTTTGAGGCATAAGAGACTACAAGTAAAACGGAATATGAATGTGAAGGTGAGTGAAAGGAATGGTT